GTGTATTATTTTTCCCCAACTGAGCAGAAAAAAGTGTGTTTTCAACTTTTGTGTTTTCATCTTTCCTTTTCAGGTATCTAAAAAACAAAAGAAGGAACAGCAGCGGCTAGAGAAGAAGAAGCGGCAGGAAGAAAGGCACCGACAAAAGTTCTTGGCCAACAAGAGTAACTGTGCAGACAGCAGCAGCAGAGAGACGGACTCAACCAACCACGTCACCGTGGTGAAGGCCGTGGCAGCTCTGAACATATGACTGAATGTGTTCTGAGTGCTCTGGCGAGAAAAGCAAATAAAACTGATGAAGCCAAAATTCCCCTTAAGCAAATTCCAAGCACCCATTGTGGTCTTAAAGTCTGTTTCTGTGGAGATCTCTAAGTACATGTGAACTTCTGCTTCTTTGGTTGTGGGGCAAACGGTTATTCAGTAATTCTGCATCAACCTGTGTGTGAGAAGAGTTGTTTGAATTTCACAAAAAGTAGAGAGTTGGCTTTATAAATTTGGAGTTAGATGAAGGTAAGAATCTTTTCCTCACTCAGCAGTGTCGGATTTGCTTTGACATCTCTTGATGTGCTTAGAGTATTTTCTTATTCTTTTAATAGCAATTTTTTACTTGGCTGTGCTTGGGGGAGCTTTATTTTACCTTCCTGTCAGGGAAAGCTTAACAGTTCTCAGGAACATGTTGGGTTTTTTTTTTCTCTATTTAATTTTAAATAAGGTATGGGAAGAGAATCCCGGAATCCTTTCCAAAGCTAAGTGTGTCAGCCAACACTGTATGAAACATGACATTCCTCTTTTCTTTCCCAAGCAAGAACGCAGTGATAAGTTTTAATCTAACTAGAACTGCTTGTGTTGCACTGGGCTGTTTGAGAAGTGATAAATACATGAAGGGAGAATGGGATTGCTGTGTCCATACTCACTTAGGTTTGAGATCAGCTCGTCTGCTAGCTATTAAGACCTGTGGAGAAAGAAAAAAAAAAACAAACAAAAAAAAACCCAAAAAACTAATTCCAGTGGACTCCCGAGACCACAGAGCCAATTCATCGGATCTGGTGATGTCTAATGAGGTTGTAAAATGCGACATGAGCAGGCGTGAGATTTCTGTTGAGTGTTGTTACTTGGACATCTGGAATCTCATCTCCTTTGCCATACTCTGGAGCTTTTGGACTACTCCAGAGCTTTAGTCCAAGCCAGAAACTTGATAGTTAGTTGTCAGTCTCCAAATGAAATTAGTATAACCAAAGGATGAAGAGTCCTGGAAACAGGCTTCCAAGTAGCAGTGTTCTCTGGGAACCCTGCCTACTTCACTCTTCATAAATCAAGCTTTATCCTGGGTAGGATTTTTTTCATCTTAAATTCCTCTTTGGTAAGGTCACCAAGTACCGTAGAACGTACAGCTTGAACCCTGTGATGCTTTCCACTCTAGGACTGGGAATTTGAGCTGAAGTGTAAGGACTGTGGGACTTGGCCCTCGATTTATGGTTTACAGGGTTTCAGCTTCACTCAGGTTTTTGGACTTGTATCAAGCACTAAGCTTGAAGAAGGCGCATGTGCACTTAAACATACAGTAGATAACAGGAGACACCTCATCAGCCAGGGCAGAGACAGAACAGATTTTTTTGAAAGTAAGGAACGTTGCTTTTGAAAAAATCCTGTGCATTCTCTGAAGTTTCCAAATCAGCATGGAAATATAAATGCCTTTTTTGACTGTACTGCCAAGATCTGAGCTAGTACTTCTTCATATGCTCTGCTGCTGTTTATCAAGAGCATTTGAAGAACAAAAAGAAAGGAGCTCTACTTTACTGGTGGTGTAGGAGAACAGACTTTAATGCTGTTAAAGAAGTTACTTTGGTTCCTGTAGTGAGCTTGGTGGAAATAAAAAAGTAATGCAGAGCAGCTCTTATGCTTTATGGTAGAGCACAGTGTCTGGCAGGTGCAGCAGCGTGTTAAGTGCTGCTCTAAGTGCCGGGGTAGGTGTGAGTAACCGCTGTGGAGGGAAGCCTGAGTAGTATTTCACAGGTAGGAAGAGCATGGATGAGCCTTGAATTCACAGTACTACTCTTAAAGTGAAAAAATTACTTTGGTAAAATGCATTTTATGCCAACCTTGGATAGCCTGTTGTTAGCAATGTTGCTTCCGGGAATTCTTTTTCCCCAAAACAGTCACCTTTACAGTGATGGAAAGAAGGGCAAGTCATAGCTTAAAGGGGAGAAAGTGCGAGTCACTTCGCCGGTGTGATGAGCTGAAGACAGCAAGCATAGCATAGTCTTGCCCAGATGTATTTTGATTTGAAAGGTGGGTGTGTTCCGCAAGTTTGAAGAAGATAGTAAGAATTTGCAGTTATACTCTACAAGTAAGATGTTTGTTCTCAATGAATTGCTTTTTCGTCTTGCCGAGCCAGAGCTGATAGGAGGATTATTGTTGCGTCAGGCCTGGAGAGCTGTGAAGGCAGTTGTCTGTAGCCAGCACAGAGGAATCGGAGCTTCTGTGGGTGTGAAGGGACCTGCAGAACCTAACCTTGTCCTGTCCAGGGATGTGGGGCTGCAACAGCAACACGTCTTAAGCAGGAGGGAGGGAGGCTGACCTTCAGCTCATGGCCTCTGATAACCAAATACGTGGCTGAAAATGCTTTGATTTCCAAGTGGAATACGATTAAAACAAACTCTTAGTGTGCTGTGCTCGTAAATCTTGTCAGACCAGTCAAATTCTCTTTATTTTTGCCAGGATAGCTTTGCACCTGCAAAAACTTGTAACCAAAGGTGTTAACATTTTCATTTTGGCTGTTCTAGATTTTTCTGTTAGCTGTTGAAATTTCCACCTGCCCTTACGATGTGTACTTTTTTCTAAAGAATCCTTATGCAGCGTTCCTCAGGGGACTCGCTTTTGTACAGAGAATTTGCTTTGTAAACAGGCCGTGGATTTTCCTTGCGGGACGAAGGGAGACGAGAAACAAGAGAAGAGCAACATCATGATTCATGATCTCGTGTTTACTCTTTGGTGGAGCTAACTGTGCTTCATCCTATGCAGTCATGGGACAACAAGCTCTCACGTTCCCTTGGTATTTGGGGAAGATCACTGTTTGTTCCTAGCTGCTAGCTTACATCTTGGAGGGTCACAAGTGGGCAGAGTGCTCCGGCTGCGTTGGCGTCACTGCAGGCCTTTTTGAGGTGAGTACACGGCAGGACAATGTAGAAAGCTGCTTTCCCTGCATCCTGTCTACCACCAATGTCTTTCCCAGACTTATTTTTTTCCAAATCCTGCCCCTGCAGGTAAGGAGTTCAGTTAGCTGAAAGTTTTAAGCATTTAGCCACTTTTTTTTCTGCTGTCCGTAAGCATGTCTTGGCCTTACCATGTACAGGAGGGCTTTGTGCTACTCTGCTGTCTCTGCTGTACCTCGTTCCTTTCTGGAGGGGTGCTTTTTGGTTTATTTAACAACAGCTTCGCCTCATCAGCAGAGGTCACATCATCCATGGTATCCACACCGGCAGTGCTCTCGGAAGGCACCATCGGTCTCTGTTGGAGTCTGATGGAACTACACAAGAGTTTTCCTTTCCTTTCCCCCTCCAGATTCTGAGCAGGGCACCTGCGTCCATCACCAAACCTCCTCTGGTTTTGGATGCTGAGTGCAATAAAGGCTGCAAAGATGTGCCAGCTGAACTGTGCGAATGGAGTCATGTACAGGGCATGCTGCGGGTTAAAGGCAAAACTTTCGGATTAATTTAACGAGTCTGCAAAACCCCAACCCTTCTGGGCACGCGATCTGGCTGTGGGGTGTACGTTCACCTGCTGGCTTTCACAGAAACTTAGCTAAAAGTGGGGGAAATCGGGTCATGATGTTTATTTTCCAGTGTCGTCTAAAATGGAGATGATTTATGCTGGTGCTGAGCTGTGGGGTCGTTCTTGCTGCTCCGGAGCAGAGCCTGTTTGCAGGCACAGACCTTAGAGGGCAGCATCGGCTTCGGCAGCTCCCTCCCAGCGCTCTCCTCTCATCCCACAGCCCTTGGGTGCCCCCAGAAAATGAGTAAAAGGAGAAATGAGCGTTTCAGTGTTCCAAAGACACATTTACTGTAGGAAGCTGGGGAAGGGGTAGGGATGTCGCTCCTGATGAAATGCTTAATGGAGTCAGGCAGAAACTCAAAATACCCTGAAAACCCCTTTGTTTTAGACCCCCTCCCTCTGCAGGGGCACAGGACACATCTCTGGAGATGGCATTAAAACTGGAGGAGCCTCCATCGATGCTGAGGTGTGAGGGGCAGCTGGCCCTGGCTCGTTAGGTGCTCATTAGGGCTAATTACTGATGGTGCCCAGCTGTGGGGAAGGACGAGGGGGCTGCAGGGAGTTGCAGGGAGCTGCGGCTGGAGGAGAACTGCCAGGACTTGCTGGAGATGGGGTGCAAAAAACACCCCAAACCCCTGAGACCACCGCCACCATGCTTCCCCGTGTGAGTATTAATTGCTTAAATCATCATTAAGAGCAGGTTGGGGCTTTGTGGTGGCCAAGCCCCTGAGGGGAGCCAGGTTTGAGGTCAGGGCACAGCCCCCGGTCGCTGTTTCTGTTCATTGTTTGGGTTTTTTTTCCTCTGAAGCTTTTAAGATTTACCGATTGGCTGCTCAAAAGTCACTTCCCATAAATGTTTTTTAAGAAAATGATGCAAAACTGTGTGTGCGCATAAATATTTACCTCAGAAAATCAGCCCTGAAGCTCCGCGCCGTTTCCTCCCCCTTCCGCCATCGACCCCCAAAACACCAACACGACACTGGGCGGTCTTTAGAAATTGCTTTAGAAAATGTACTTTTATTTGGAGGGATTCTCTGATTTCTGTGATTCTCAATGTCTGTGGTTTATTTAATCAGGAGGAGGGGCTGTCTGAAGCCCTCTGTGCTCCGGTGACAGGCCCCAGGCGCCATTTTGTCTCAGCAGGGCCAGGCCGTGCCCTGCCTGCCTGGGGGAAGGCAGAAAAACTCCCCACTTTAGACTGTTTGCTTCGGGTTTTGAGCCTGGCGTGTCTAGCAGGAGGGAGTTAGGCCCTTGCACAGAATGTTGGGGTAATTCTTGTAGACACTGTTGTAGGTCTTGGCTGTCCTTTGGAAGCACTCTGCCGCCCGCCGGTCGCACTCGCAGCTCTGTCTCTGGCACGAAGTCCCCGATTCTGGAATAAAATTTGAGGGGGGATGGAGTCAGGTGGAGGGTGGGAGAGTCAGGGGATGTTTTCTGGGTGGTTCCTGCTGTCGTTTGCAGCCCCCACGCTGAGTTTGGGGTGTCTGGGGTAGTCCTCGCCGTACCTCTGGTGTGTGGAGCTGCCTGGCCAGGAGCCACGCAGGGCCCTGGAGGGACCTTTTAGTTTAATTTATATCCCTTTGTGTGTATGGGTGTTTGTTTTGATTACAGAAGTGCTTTGTTTTGATCCGCTAGCCCACCAACAGCAGAATTTGCTGTGGGGACATGGGGACAGCAGTGCCAGGTCCCCATCCACGATGGAGGGTCACCTCCAACCCTCCGTATTTGTCCTCTCCAGAAGGGCAAGACCCCTCCTTTGGGAGCTCTCTGAGCTCTAAACTTCACCCCAGTCCTAGCAGATAAATGTTTGCCCTATTCCTGGCACTTTCCCCTCATTTCCATCCCCTTCCCAGCCAAGATGGTCTAAAGAACGAATCAGAAGATGGGTCCCCTGGGAGCGTGGGTGGTTGTGGTTGGACCCCGCACCGGCTCTTACCGCAGACGATCTGACTTCCCAAGACGGTGTATTTGTAGGTGACCAGCTTGGGATTGCAGCTCAAGGAAGTCAGCCTCCTGTAACAGCAGTCGTGGGCATGGCAGCACCTGGGAGAACGAGAGGTTTGGTCAGGGCAGGAATGACACCACGGTCATGGACGTCTGGCAGTGCACAACCCCTGTGAGAAACGTCCTGCTGCTACTTCCCAGAGGTGTTAATGATGAGCAAGTGGTTTTGTGTTGGTATCTCAGCTCCCAGGAGCAGGGGCAAGCATTCCCCTCGCTGTTCCTGGGGAGAGGGGGACAAGGAGAGCTGGGGACATCCACCTTGCCTTTGCCACGTCCTGACTTACCTGTCGGTGGCATCCAGTGGTTGTTTGGATCCCCCCACGCCGCAGTAGCAGCCGTAACCCAAGTAGGACTGCACCGATCTCCCAGTCTTGAGTTTAATCATTGAACCAAACTGCAGCAAGCTGCAGCTGGCGGGGGCCAGGCCTGCAACTGGAGATGGAGGGGTTAGGAGCATCAGGAAAAGCAACTTCCCATCCCACCCCTGGAGCAAACCTATGCATTTTCACCCTCCCCAGCTTTATGGGGAGAAGTTGTGAGCGCTGGGCTCTCCCCACTGCCTCGTCCTGTGGGGTGGGAGCAGGGGTACTCACGGCAGAGGAGCAGCAACACAAAGAGCTTCATGGCTGGCGGTGGCAGCTCCAATGTCTGGATGAGCCCAAGGTGGCAATGGTTGCACCTTTTTATGGCCACCAGGCATGCGCTGGACCCAGCCCTTCCTTTGGAGAACCCAACATGGGCAAATATTGTCAATCCTTGCTGGGTTAGTCCCGCTATGTGTGTGAACCTCCCTTGATGTTCCTGGAAGCAACAGCTGTGGGATGTCCCTGTGCTGGGAGAACCCTTTGCAGGGGACGTTGCAGTGGACTGGGATGAGTGGGGCAGATGGGTTGAATCTGTGCACGGTTCTGGGTACCTCAGCATCCCAAAGCCTCCCCGAACAAAACGGGAGAACCTGAGGGAGAATGGGAACTGCTTTGTTCCTGGATGACAAGGGTAGCTCTGAGGAGAAGGATTTGGGGATGTTAGGTGATGAGAAGCTGAACACGACCCAGCAGTGTGCACTCACAGCCCAGAACCCCCCCGTGTCCTGGGGGCATCCCCAGCAGCGAGAGCAGCAGGGCTAGGGAGGGGATTGTCACCCTCTGCTCCGCTCTGGTGAGACCCCCCCTGGGGTGCTGCCCCCAGCTCTGGGGTCCTCAGCTCAGGACAGACACGGAGCTGCTGGAGCGGGGCCAGAGGAGCCACGGAGATGGTCCGAGGCTGGAGCAGCTCCCGTGCGAGGACAGGCTGAGAGAGTTGGGGGTGTGCAGCCTGGAGAAGAGAAGGCTCCGGGGAGACCTTCCAGCACCTTCCAGTGCTGAAAGGGGGCTACAGGAGAGAGGATGATTGTGTCATTTGTTTGGAGAGAATCTCTAGTTAAATACATGATGCCAAACCATCCTTTTAGCAGATTTCTTCTGGCAGGGGTTGCGGTGCTCTGCAGGGAACCCCGGCACGGGCAGGCACCCAGCCAGGGGGAGGAAATCCCCCCATCACCAATGGGGAAACTGAGGCAGGGAACCAGAAAGCGACTTGCGCAGAAATCGGAGAGATGGGGAGAAAAGGGAACTTGGGTTGGGGCCACAGCAAAATCTCTTCCCATAATTCACTATTTTCTGAGTCTGCAGCCAGTTTTTATCCCTGGGGAATAAGATGTATTTTTGTGCATTAAACTGAGCTTCCAGGTGAAAGGCCCCCCGGCCCATGGCAGGTTTGCAGTTGCCCTTCTCCAAATGGGTGATAAGACTCCCCCCAGGGCTGGATGGTTCCTGGAATAACGTGGGTTTTATTTAATAATATGCAAACCACAAGTCTGCATCAATTTATTGTGACGTACTGAGGGGGTGCAGCATCTGAGACAACACCCCAGCACTCGCAGTTCTGTGTGAACGGATCTGTAATCCAAGCATAAAAATACACAGAGAGTTAAAATTCACCCAAAATTCAATCAGGGAGAGTGTGGTTCTGCTCATCCTGCCCCGCAATCTGTCCACACCATTTCCTCTCTCCCATCAGGATTTCTGATCCTGATTCACACCTTGCAAACAGCAGCTGCTGGGCGAAGGGCTGCCTGCTCATTCCTCGCACAGGTTCCAGCCAGAGGGAAGTGTCGCTGATTTACGGGATATTTCCTGCTGCTGCAAGCCAGGGTGGGAATTACAGCTGCTGATATCCAGAGCATCAGCCCCTGGGGAAATAGTATTTCGTTGCTGTTTTTGTGGTTATATTTCACGGGCATTTGCAGGGCTGAGACCTCCCAGGGGCTCAACCCTGCTGAATTCGTCTGCCGGGCAGAAACCCTGCGCCCAGGGGGCGCT